CGCGGGCCCCGGGATAGGAGGGGCACAAGGCCGAGATGCGTCCTGCTGACCACTGCACACGCCCCGGGACAGGAGGGGCACAGGGACGAGATGCGTCCTGCTGACCACAGCGCGGGCCCGGGACAGGAGGGACACAGGCCGAGATGCGTCCTGCTGACCACTGCGCAGGCCCCGGGACAGGAGGGACACAAAGCCGAGATGCGTCCTGCTGACCACAGCGCGGGCCCTGGGACAGGAGGGGCACAAGGCCGAGATGCGTCCTGCTGACCACAGCGCGGGCCCTGGGACAGGAGGGGCACAAGGCCGAGATGCGTCCTGCTGACCACTGCACACGCCCCGGGACAGGAGGGACACAGGCCGAGATGCGTCCTGCTGACCACTGCGCAGGCCCCGGGACAGGAGGGACACAAAGCCGAGATGCGTCCTGCTGACCACAGCGCGGGCCCTGGGACAGGAGGGACACAGGCCGAGATGCGTCCTGCTGACCACAGCGCGGCCCCGGGACAGGAGGGACACAGGGACGAGATGCGTCCTGCTGATTTGCAGTCCGTGCTGCTGATGGATACTGTCTGGGAAGAAGACAGCTGCTCCTCCCCATGTTACCCCTAAGGAACAAAGCAGGGAAAGTGACTTCCCCGGGGTGGGACGAAGGCGTGATCGGTCATTTGTCTTGTCCTCGTGCGCTGACTGCGGCCTCGGAAGGGTCGCGGTTTGGTTCAGAGACTGACTTGCATCTTCATCTCCTGCGGGTCTTGTTCTCCTCCCCTGGTTTCTGTCCAGAGCGCGGCCCTGCCCTCTGCCTGCATCCGCTCGGGAAAGAGGGCGCAGCTGAGCCTGTCCGGCTGACGCGGGGAGCGCTCCCAGCAGCCGTTTCGTGAGTCGAGGCTGTTTTCCGTGACTCCTGCAGAGGGAATGACTGGAGGATTTCGAAGGCTCTTGTTACATTCTTGCTCTGCTGTCTGTGTTTATCAGGTAGACAGCCCGAGTCTTTCAGACTTGGTCTGATGGGATCTAGAGAAAACACTTTCTTGAGAATTTAGTTGTGCTCAAATAACACAGCCTCACTGGGCCGGCGCCGCGGCTCACTAGGCTAATCCTCCACCTTGCGGCGCCGGCACCCCGGGTTCTAGTCCCGGTCGGGGCGCCGGATTCTGTCTCGGTTGCCCGTCTTCCAGGTCAGCTCTCTGCTGTGACCCGGGAGTGCAGTGGAGGATGGCCCAAGTGCGACTCTAGACCGTCAGTGGTATGTGACCTCACTGAGCCCCCACACGTGGCAGAGTCTAGACCGTCGGTGGTGTGTGACCTCACTGAGCCCCCACATGTGGCAGACTCTAGACTGTCGGTGGCATGTGACCTCACTGAGCCCCCACACGTGGCAGACTCCAGACCGTCAGTGGCGTGTGACCTTGCTGAGCCCCCTTACGTGGCAGACTCTAGACCATCGGTGGTGTGTGACCTCGCTGAGCCCCCCACACGTGGCAGAGTCTAGACCGTCGGTGGTGTGTGACCTCGCTGAGCCCCCCACATGTGGCAGACTCTAGACCGTCGGTGGTGTGTGACCTCACTGAGCCCCCGCACGTGGCAGACTCTAGACTGTCGGTGGTGTGTGACCTCAGTGAGTGTCCCCCGCACATGGCAGACTCTAGACCAGCAGTGGCGCGTGACCTCGCTGAGCCCCCCGCATGTGGCAGACTCTAGACTGTCGGTGGTGTGTGACCTCAGTGAGCGCCTGCACGTGGCAGACTCTAGACCGTCGGTGGTGTGTGACCTCGCTGAGCCCCCCACACGTGGCAGAGCCTTCCTGATCCGCTCTGTGAGGTGTCCTTGTCCCTTCCGTGTCTCTGATGCCTCTGAGTTCCTGGGCTCCTTGGCTGTCCTCTCCTCGCGTGCCCGTTCTCAGTGACCTGCAGCCGGCATCCCTAAACCCCTTGCTGGGCCCTTGCACGTCGGTGTCTGTGCACCCAGCGCCGAACCCACACCCCTGTCTGCGCTCTGTTTGTGTGAATGCCCACATGGCCACCACGGGCGCTGTCAGTTACCCCACAGAGCCCCTCGGGGCCCCTCCCAGTCAGTGCCCCGACCTGCTCAGTGCTCCCCTGGCCCCCCGCACTGCACTGGCCTTGCCTGTTCTTGACCTTCATGCGTATGTAGACTCTTGGGTCTGGTTCTTCGGGTCATGGTCGTGTTCCTGAAGCTCACCCACCTTGTCACCTTTATCAGTCGTTTGATCCTTTTTGGGTCATGCATTTTGCTTGCCCATTCTTCTGCCCGTGGACAGCATGCTTGTTCCAGCTCGGGCGGTTAGGAGTGGAGCTGCCTGGGCCTGGGCCTTCATTTCTTCTGTTGGTTCTCTTGGAAGCTGGGGCTTCAGAGGGGCGTCCGGTGGTTCCCCTGGGTGGCTGTGCCGTTCTCCGTCTCTCCAGCCATGAGTGGAGGTTGTGGTTACTCCACGTCTTCACCAGCGCTTGGATCATCAATCTTTATAATTTGAGTGTAAAACTATTTTCTGCTGTAGAAAAACTGATGAAAACAAGGAACATCAGCAGGGAAGGGCCCCTCCCTTCAGCCGTGGGTGCATGAGAGACGCCGACAACCAACAAAACCCAGGAGGGGCTCCCCGGCCTCTCCATCGTGAGTCGCCGTCGCTCGCCACGTCCCTCCCGCTCCGCCCCAGTGTGGCTCACTGTGCCTGGGAGTCCTCCTCCAGTTGTGTGTGAACCTGGGCTCTAGGAGAATGATCTTCGTTCTTACGTTTAGGACAGAGTTTTCCTATTACACTGTATTAAGGTACCTGTTGAAAATGTTGACTGTTGAAATGTCTCCTCCTAGTTTTCGAGTGAATTGCCTTATACCAGCTGAAATGGGACTGTCAGATCGGCTGCGTTCTGTGTGAGCCTAGGCAAGCTTCCCTTTTTTTAAAATATTTTTTATTTATTTTACTTGAAAGAGTTACAGAGAGGTAGATACAGAGAGAGAGGTCTTTCATCCGCTGGTTCACTCCCTAATTGGCCACAATGGCCAGAGCTGCACCGATCCAAAGCCAGGAGCCAGGAGCCTCCTCCAGGTCTCCCACGTGGGTGCAGGGGCCCAAGCACGTGGGCCATCTTCCACTGCTTTCCCAGGCCACAGCAGAGAGCTGGACTGGAAGTGGAGCAGCCGGGACTAGAACCAGCGCCCACATGGGATGCCGGTGCTTCAGGCCAGGGCTTTAACCCGCTGCACCACAACGCCGGCCCTTGACTTTTTTTATTCTTTGAAGAATTCGGTAAATTTGAGTCCCCAAATCCATTTGAGTCATCATTAAAAACAAACTAAAACAAAAACAAAAAACCCTGTTGAACTGAAGGCGTTGAAATCTTGTGGCATTTGGTTTCTAAGCAAACACTGAAAATGGCCGGTCTTGCCGCTGTTTTACCCATGGTACTAACTCATCCTTGACTTTCTTCACCCAAGGTACTGTGGCATAGTCAGTTCTTCTTAAATTTATTTTATTATTTGAGAAACAGAGAGAACTCCTGTTCTCTTGTTCACTCCCTAAATGCCACAGTGGCCAGGGCTTGGCCAAGGCCAAGAGCAAGAGCCAGGAACTCAGCCAGGTTTCCCACATGGGTGGCAGGAACCCAGCTACTTGAACCATCAGCTCCCACAGTCTGCATTAGCAGGAAGTTGGAGTCAGGAGCTCAACCCAGGCACTCCAGTGCAGGGTGCTAGGCCAAACGGCCAACCCAAGGTTTGTGCTTTATCCGAAAGTCCTACTGGAGACACATATTCGGCATAGTAGCTGAAGGGGGAGGCAGCAGCACTGTGGTGTGATGAGTTGGGCTGTAGCCTGCAATGCCAGCACCCCGTACAGGCACCGGTTTGAGTCCCAGCTGCTCCATTCCTGATTCAGCTCCTTGCTGGTGTGCCTGGGAAAGCAGCTGAGGGTGACGCAAGTCCTTGGGCCCCTGCCACCCACATGGGAGACCGGAGGGATCTCCTGCTCCTGGCTTCAACCTGGCCCAGCCCTGGCCACTGGGGCCATCTGGGGAGTGAACCAGTGTATGGAAGATTTCTATCTCTCCCTCTCTCTCTTTATAGTTCAGCCTTTCAAATAAAATAAATCCTTAAAGAAAAAGAGAAAAAGATGCCCTGGGGTCGCCTGCCCCCCCCCCCCCCCCCCCCCGTACCACGGTGACTGGGTTCCGGTCCCGGCTGCACTGCGGACTCCAGTGCTGCTGCTACACACCCTGGGGGCAGCAGACGACAGCTTCAGTGCTCGGGTCCCTGCTGCCCACGTACGAGACCCACACTGAGTTCCAGGCTCCTGGCTTCATCCTGACCCGGCCCCTGCTGATGCACGCATGCAGGAGTGAACCAGTGGACAGATGATGCCTCAGTGGACAGATGATGGCTCTCTTTCCCTGTGGCTCTCTGCCTTTGAAATAAGAAATCAGTCAGTCAGTCAGTCAGGGCCAGCACCATGACACGGTGGGCTAAGCCTCTGCCTGCAATGCCAGCGTCCCATATGGGTGCTCCACTTCTGATCCAACTCCTTCCTAGAGCCTGAGAAAGCAGCAGGAGATGGCCCAAGTCTGTGGGCCTCTGCCACGTGGGAGACCCAAGTGAAGCTCCTGGCTTCTGTCCAGCCCAACCCTGGCCCCTTGGGAACCGGGAGCTGGAAGCTCTCTCCCTCTCCCTCCCTCTCTCCCTCCCTCCCTCTCCCTGTCTCCCTCCCTTTCTCCCTCTCCCTCTCCCTCCCCCCTCCCTCTCCCTCTCCCTCCCCCCTCCCTCTCCCTCTCCCTCCCTCCCTCCCTCCCCCCTCCCTCTCCCTCTCCCTCTCCCTCTCCCCCTCCCTCTCCCTGTCTCCCTCCCTCTCTCCCTCTCCCTCTTCTCTTCGACGCTCCCCTATCTACCTTTGCTTCTCACTCGACACCTATCCCTTCACCGTGTTCCTTTTCCCCTTTTCTTTGTGCTTTGTCTTCTCTCTCCCTTTGCGATGTATGTACCCTGTAAACTCTGCCTTTCCAATAAGTTTTAAGTAAAAAATTAATGCTTTGAAAATGTATTGGTCTGTGCTGTGTTTTCCTTCTAACACAGTTCTTCCCTGCTCTAAGAGGAAGGATGGCCCAGGGCCTTAGGAGACCAGGAGCAGGGGATGCGTGTGATGCGGGTCGTCGTTTGTCTTCCCCGTGGGCCCTGTAAACCATGTCCACGCCAGCACAGCTGGTGCAGTCCCTGCCCGGGGCAGGTGCCGCGTGCGGGAGAGACACGGGTCCTGCACAGAGGGGCACGTGTGTCTGACTGACCCCTCCGAGTCTTCTTCTTCGTGGGTTTGTTCAGCACCAGCGGATCACATGAAGACGGGAAGCCTTTGCTTGGAAACAAGGAAAAACCCAACCCAGAAGAGGCGCTGGCAGCCTCAGACGAGGCCGAAACCCAGGCGCTTCCCATCCTCCCACCGCTCTCCCCGTCCGTGCCCTTTCCTTTTAAGCCATCAAGGCTCAGAATCGGACGCTGCAGTTTAAGTACACTTCTTTCCTCTGTTGAGGCTCACGTCTATTTAGTTTGTTTACTCAGAAGGCAGAGAGAGAGCCGGGCACACATGGATCTCCCATCCTCCGTTCGTCCCCAGATGCCTGCAGCGCCAGGGCTGCGTGCTGGGAGCTCGCCCAGGACTTCCCTCTCAGTGCAGCGGCCTCGACCGTGCGGGAGCTGTGCTCACCTTGTTGTGTCGGGAGAGACGGTGAGATGCGGCAGTGGTCGGTGGGACTTTTTGAAGAGACGGCATGAGCCCAGATGCACACACGTGACGGCAGTGAGCGCAGGTGCCTGGCTGTGGCCGCTGCCGGAACGGGCGGCTGCAGTCTGCACACTGGTGTTCCGGGTTGTCCAGGTGAGCCCGCAGTGGCTTCACTGGGTTAGTCCAGGTGTCCTCCGGGCCGCGTCCACTTTCTTGCCTTTTCCAGCTCTAGAGGCGCGTGGCCACCCCCCCAGAGCAGCACAGCATGGCCGCAGCTTCTGCAGTGGGGGTCCCCCTGGCTCCGGCCTCGCGGCCTCCCACTGAGATTCTCGAGATTATGTAGGGCACGCCCAGGCAGGGCAGGGTTCAGGGTCCTGACTTGGCGATGTCCTGCAGAGTCCCCTTTGCCGTGGAAGGGACGCGTTGCACAGGCTCCAGGGGCTGGGACGTAGACCTGCTAGAGGTGAGTGTCATCTAGTCCAGCACAAGGAGACTGGAGTTCACGTCCACTCTGCCACGCAGAGTGTGTGCGTTTAGGTGCCACCTCTAGCCCGAGATCTGTCTTCTGCCACATGGGTGCAGCGTGGGCCCCAGCCCCAGCACACTTACCCGGGCCCTGTGTTTGAGTTCTGGTGGGTGGTTCTCCGTCATGTACCACGGTGGAATGCACGCGTGACGGTGGCCCCGCTGGAGGCTGTTGCTGGCGACATCGTGGCTGGCTGAGTGATGCCGCACGACCTGTCGCTGTGGGGAGCAGTGCGCGGCTGGGGAGGCCTGGCAGGCTCTCCCGCGCTTCAGCGAATTCCAGTTCTGACCGGAGAGAAATATCTCTGTGTCTTTTCCTTTGTGGTAGCGGATCTGAGAAAGCACTGGAGTGAGGAATTCAAAACCAGAATTCAGTTCTGTTGATGGGGACTTTTTCCTCCTCTTTCTTTTCTTTTCTTTTCTTTTTTTTTTTTTTTTAAGATTTATTTATTTATTTGAAAGTCAGAGTTAACACACAGAGAAAGAGAGAGGTCTTCCATCCGCTGGTTCACTCCCCACATGACTGCAATTGCCAGAGCTATGCTGATCCGAAGCCAGGAGCCAGGAGCTTCTTCCAGGTCTCCCACGTGGGTGTAGGGGCCCAAAGACCTGGGCCATCTTCTGCTTTCCCAGGCCATAGCAGAGCGCTGGATCGGAAGTGGAGCAGCCAGGTCTCGAACTGGCACCCATATGGGATGTTGGTGCTTCAGGCCAGGGCGTTGACCCACTGCGACACAGTGCTGGCCCCTTTTTCCTCCTTTTTCAAAAATGAAATCCCAGGGCCTGTGTTGAGGTGCAGCAGGTTAAGCCGCCACGTACAACACCGGCCTCCCACACGGGCACCACGGGTTCCATTCCCGGCTGCTCCACTTCCAGTCCAGGGCCCGGCTAATGTTGTCTGGGGAAGCAGCAGAAGATGGCTCAGGTCCTTGGGCCCCTGGAACGCATGTGGGAGATCCCAGTGGAGTTCCAGGCTCCTGGCGTCGGCCTGGCCTGGCCCTGACCATTGCAGCCATTGGAGAGAGAACCAGCAGATAGAAGATCGATCTCTCTCTCTCTCTCTCTCTCTCTCTCATTCTGCCTTTCAGATAAATAAATAAACCTCTGTAAAAGTGAATTTCTTAGTGTTTTCAGATGTGTGTGTTCATCTGGTTCGAGGCCATTTTAGGGAGGTGCTAATTCCACGTGACGAGTATGTGCTGAGCCACTAGGCGCTCGGGAGACGGCGCGCACGCGAGAGGCTGTCAGAGGCCTGCTCCCGGCCCTCTCAAAGTCCGTCTCCTGTAGAAGTGTTGGGGGACGGCCTGGGAGAAACGTGTGGCCCAGGGGCTGAAGGCTGAAGAGGCGCGAGCCGCCAGCCACGCGCTTGGGCTGGGGCCGGACAGGGCACGGTGTTGCTGGCGGAAGAAACGGCAGCGTTTGAAGGCCCGGAGGACGGTGGTGGAAGTTCAGTGTGGCTGGAGCTCAGGACGTGAAGAAGGCCAGGGAGGGCCGAGGTAGCGTCGGGAGCAGCGCAGGAGAGCCGGGCCCACGGGAGGAGATCCGGGCACAGTTCCGCCCGACTCAGGACTGCGCGGACTCTGGTCAGCTGTGTCCCTGCTTCCCCGTCCTGAGAGCCCCTCCCAAAGCAGCTGCAGGAAGGCAGTGTGCAGACGCGCTCCCAGCTCCAGGAGAGCCCTGCCGTGGTCGGGGCCACGGTCGGCTCAGATGGGAGCCCCTGAGACTGCAGGGTAGGGGACAGTCCTGTCGCTCTTAGCTGCGGGGACTTTCGTGATCTGTGGCCCTGCAGATTTTCTGCATACTTGGAGCAAAATTCAACGGAAATAGAATCCGTGGCCGTTTGCACCGTGTCCTGCCCGTGGTGGCCGTGGGCTCTGTGTGGACGGTCGCCCCATTGCTAAGGATCTGCGTCTGTGACTTAGTGTGTGCCGGGGGAGGGTGGAGGAGGCACCGGGTGAGCAGGCAAGCACTCCGCCCTCCCCCAGAAGCCTCCTCTTCCCACGGCCCGCACACGTCACCCCGCACGCTGCTGGGACTAAGAGGCAGGCGGGTTCAGGCTGGAGACCCGTGAGCCCCCTGCGTTCCTTAGGTTTGACAGCCTCTGTCTCCCTCCAGGCTGGAGACCCGTGAGCCCCCGCGTTCCTTAGGTTTGACAGCCTCTGTCTCCCTCCAGGCTGGAGACCCGTGAGCCCCCTGCGTTCCTTAGGTCTGACAGCCTCTGTCTCCCTCCAGGCTGGAGACCCGTGAGCCCCCGCGTTCCTTAGGTTTGACAGCCTCTGTCTCCCTCCAGGCTGGAGACCCGTGAGCCCCCCGCGTCCCTTAGGTCTGACAGCCTCTGTCTCCCTCCAGGCTGGAGACCCGTGAGCCCCCCGCGTCCCTTAGGTCTGACAGCCTGTGTCTCCCTCCAGGCTGGAGACCCGTGAGCCCCCGTGTTCCTTAGGTCTGACAGCCTCTGTCTCCCTCCAGGCTGGAGAGCCGTGAGCCCCCGCGTTCCTTAGGTTTGACAGCCTCTGTCTCCCTCCAGGCTGGAGACCCGTGAGCCCCCCGCGTCCC